TCTGTTCCCCTTCCCCCAATTCCCCAGCGCTGTTCCCATCCCCCCAATTCCCCAATAAAAAATCTTTAAAAAAAAAAATCAATGAGCAGAATGTTATTTGGAGATTAAAAGGTAAGTACCAAAATAAACAGCTAAAAAATTAACAGTTGTCTTTAGGAAGTGGGATTTAGGACTAGGATGGGGGAAAGGTTACTTTTGATAATAAATCTTGCAGAACTGTTTGCATCTTTAATCTGTGTAGCTATTATTTTGATTAAAAGTAACACTGAATAAAATGAAATTTAATTCATGTGTGGCAGGACCTGAGGTTCCCAGGGGAAGGTATACTAGAGGTGAAGCTAGAGAGATGGGCAAGAGCCAGACTGTGACAGCCTTTGAATGCCAGCTGCTAAAGTGTTTAGATTTTATTCTCTAAAAGCAGTGCAAAGCCCATAAAGGCTCGTGAGCAAGGGAGGGACAAGTTCAGACTTGTGCTTGAGGAAGAAAACTCAGTGCATCTGAGCTGGAAGGGACCCTAGAGGTTATCCAGTAAATCAGACTTATTCCCAGTACAGACAGGGAGATTGGCGTGTGGTGGAGGGAAGCCCTGAATCGCCAACCAGTGAGACTTTGACCCTTCGAAGCTCTAGCCAACCCTTCCCTCCCTCAACAGCTGCTACCAAACACTGAAGGGACTGGGGGACCAGGTTGGCTCCCTCTTTATCCCCCAGCTCCTACCTCCAGTCTACTTTGCAATTAGCACCCAGCCCCCTATCAGGCAATGGATGTTTCTAAGTCTTACTGGTGAATCTGGACCAGTTCAATAGTTAGTAGTAATACCCTTGTCTATGAAGTTCAAAGCTCAGTAGGATCAGATTTTAATACATAACATTTACTGAGATCTTACTCTGTGCCAGGCACAGTGCTGAGTACTTAACAGACAGCATCTCAAGATTGTCACAGCCACCCTGTAAGGTGAGTGATTTAGCCCTATTTTACAAACAAGGAAACCAAGGCTCAAAGAAAATAAGGAAGTTGCCCAGAGTTGTATATCTAATCAGTGGGAGAAGTGAGATTTTAAACAGCAGTCTGTCTGCTTCTAAAGCCCATGCTCCAAACCCTTCTATTTCCATGCTCCTTGAAAGTGAAACATGGTTAAACCACAAGGTAGGGGCCTCTGGAAACATTGGGGAAACACATGGCCTAGAACCTGGGACTGATGATTCTTTCCCCCACTCCCCTAGGCTTACCTGAGAGCCATCGATGTGAAGATCCTGCAGCAGCTGGTGACCTTGAATGAGGGCATCGAGGCGGTGCGCTGGCTGTTGGAAGAGCGGGGGACGTTGACGAGCCACTGCAGCAGCCTCACTAGCAGCCAATATAGCCTGACAGGCGGGAGCCCAGCCCGCTCAAGGCAAGGCAGCTGGGACAGCCTTCCAGATACCAGCTCCACTGACCACTTGGACAGTGTCTCCATTGGCAGCTTTCTGGACACGGTGGCCCCCAGTGAGCTGGATGAACATGGCTCCCTCGGGGCTCCCCGTCCTGAGATGGACTGGGCTAAGGTTATACCTGGTGGGGAGAGGGCCAGGACTGAGGTGGATCTGACAGCCACCAGGCTAGGGAGCTTGAGGGCTGTGTGGAAGGCCTCAGGGGAGGGCCTTCAAGGTGGACCTCCTGAGCCAGCAGAGGATGAGAGTGGCAAGCTGGGCTTTGAGGCCCACTGGTACTGGGGGCAGTGCCAGGATGATGTGACCTTCTTGTAACAACTTTTTCACCCTTTAGTGGCTCTTTACTAGGCCCTGGTCTCCCTTGAAATGTATTCTCCCTCAGTGTGGGATTAGGAAGAGGCTACCTTGAAATCAGTTACTGTGGAAACCTGGCCTCACCATCCCCCAGATCCCTGGGGAAGCTCTGCCTCTCTCACTCATCAAGCCCCTAAAGCTATTTCCATAGATACATTGACCCTAGAGGCTTGACCTGTGGCTCTTCCCCTCCCCCCTGCCCCAAAACTAGGTAAGGATTTGAGGGATTTAGGACCCTTAGGAAATCACTGATGAAAAAATGGGAGTATAATTACTTCATCCAATGTCCAGGAGCTTTGGCCTCACTCTGGGCCAAGATAGAGGATTGTGGAGGGACAAGGACATTCAGGGCCAAGCCTCCATGGATTGGCCCTCTCAGAAACCTTTGGGGTTGGTAGAACTACTGTTTCCTATCTGGTGAGTGATGTCATTTCCTGCCAGTATGCATTAGCCTTTCCATTGTACCAGTTCTTTAGTGGAGATAGATAAGTATAGGAGTATCTGAACTACAGCTAGTGAGACCATGCCGTTTATTCTCTATAACATTACTTCTTGTGAGGGGGAACGTACCACCCCTCCTGGCAGGAAAGTTTCTCACTGTTGGATATTTGTGCTTCTTTTCAGAAAGGTTCATACTTTTTAAACAAGGTGTTCTCCTTTTATCCTAGGGGCTCTCTCTTCCTCTGTGGCCACATCCCTGTCTGGTGCCCACACTGCTATATCTGTGCTTTTAGGGAGGGAAACTGGCAAGGGCCTCCACCTACTGCTCTCAAAAGCCTGTTTGGCCTGCCCTGCCACAGTCCCGTTTTACCCTGTCCCTGGGTTGCCCCCATTCTTGTATTCTGGCTCCAAATCTGTCTGCGAGGTGGTTCAGCCTTTGTGTCTCCACACCTTCTCAGTTTCCACTTCCACTTCAGGCCCCAGGCCTTTTATATGCAGATGAGTCCTCCAGCCTTCTCTCTCCATTGTTGATGAGAGCAGAGGCAGGGACAAGCTTGAGGTCTCAGAGTTCTGGGGGTGTACCAGAATCTCCAAAGTGAGGAGGTGTCTTCTTCTCTGATCCTGTGACTTCCCCCTCCCCCACCCTGTCTCATACCCTCCACCATTTGGTCACAAGGACCTGCCCAGAAACTGGGACACAAGGAATCCCCTTGTCTGAGTTACAATGGGGGGGGGGGGGGGGGGGGGGAGAAGAGGGGGGGAAGGGGCGTGGCAGGGAAAGACAGAGGCTCTTTAGTCCTGGGGCCCACGTCCTGGAAGGGGAGAGAGAGAGGGAAAGGCCACTTTCCTTCCTCCCTTAGAGCAAGCCCTAGACTCCTGGGACCTGAGCAGGGAGCAGGGGACTGGCTCTAGGCCTGGGTCCCAGGACCCTAGTGAATTGCACTAAAGAAGGAATTCAGGGAAGCTGCCAACCTGAGGCTCAGGGAGGGGTCAAGGAGACCAGGACTGTGGTTGATGTCAGAGAATGAATTCTTGGGGATTAACCCTTTGAACTTCATGTAACTGCCCATATGTTGGTCCCTGTCTTTTTTGGGCATTGAAACTAGATTATTGGAAGGCAAAAAGACGAGGAAAGGATGTCAGGTGATCCTTGCCTATTTACTGTGCCCTTCTGAGTCGGAGGAATCACCCCCAAATCCTAGAATAACTCCCGCAATTTCTCTACTTTTCGTTCTATGCTGGGGAAGGGAAGGAAGTCAAGTTGATCATCTCTACTGTCCTTACACTCCTCAAGTCTTGCTCTGCATCTCCCACCCCAATCATTTTGGGGCAATGCATTCAGTCCATGGCTCTCCCCTAAAGACCCTCTCCCCTCCCACATCCCCTCAATGTGATTGAAATTGCAAAAGTATATTCTTAGCCTCTCTTCTGCTGCCCATCAGCCCTCTCCTTACCACCCTCCATGGTCTTAGAGCTCCTGACCACCCGCCTCAGGCTAGAAATTCAAATATCCCTTTCCAATCCCTACTCTGTTGCCATTTTGTAGTGTGCCCTTGGGTAACTACCTTGTATTCCTTTTTGTAGCTTGTTGGGTTAGCCCACAAACTTCTGAGCTGAAGAGATCGCCTGCCCTCTTGTGGCCATTATGCACCATTGCCAGGGGAACCTCCAAGTTCAAATACAACCTTATAAAAGACCAATCCCCTCAGTGCACAGACAGGCTGGAGAGACAGGCCCAGAGAGGGCAGAGACTTGTCCAGTGTCACCCATGGTAAATCCATGGCAATGCCCAGGTTAGAGAACCCAGATCTCCTGCCTGCCTACCTGCCTGTGCACAGTTCCATCATTTGGCCAGACTATATTCCCTGACCTGAGTCAACACTACCCAAATCCAAAGCGACTAAAAGCAGTTTCCCCCCTGTTTTAATACTGAGTTCACACCCCACCCTAGGGAGGCAGCTCAGTGTTTAGAGAAGTAGCTGTAGGCTCTGAGGAAAGAGAAACTTGGACCTGGATTGGGTGAAGGGTACTCTAATGTGGATTGCAGACATAAGGAAAATCAATCCTAGATCAACTGTTTTTCCTGGGAAGGGAGGACAAGTAGGCCCAGATATCATGGGGGGCAGAAGTCAGCATTTCAGACCTGAGGGTTAGAAGCAGGGGTTGGGGTGGAGAGGTTTGAGATTAAGAAATCCAGCTGGGTCCTGTGGAGTTGGGGAGCTCCACAGGTGAGGGGATTACAACTCCAGATAGGTCTGGCATGTCTTAATACCTGAGACTCCATTTCACTACCAGAGAAGTTCAGGAACCTAGTAAACATATCCTTGGTCCCTCTTACTTGTCTCTGGACCAGCTGCTTGAGGCTTAGCTCTCCTGTTAGTTTAGACATTTCTGGGTTGCAAGGAAGACCTGTTTAGGAGCTCAAAGAAAGAGATGAGAGGAAAGTGGGGAGAGTTGTAGAGAGACAAGAGAGAATGAGATGAAAACAAAGTGTTGAAAGTATGATCAGAGGGAGCATACTATTCTACAGGTAGGCCGGGGGCTTTTGTCGGGGCTCAGGGGAAAGGCAGAGCCGCGACTGGTCTTGGCAGCTACAGAAACAGCACCTGGGAAGATAAAGGGTGGTGCCGGCTGGGATGAGTACATCAGGGAGGACATGAGACCATGTGAGTGGGCAAGTGTAAGGACCTGCATTTAGGATGGGGGCAGTGAGGTTGAGCATTGGACTGACTGGAAGTTCAGTGGCAGGCAGCTTAGGTGAGAAATGCTTGAGGCTTGGAGTAGACGCACACTCACTGTATGCACGGTGACAGGCACGTACGTGGTGTTCGGTGACATTTGCTGAATGAATGGAGGAATGAATGTGTATAAATCCTACAAGGGATTTATTTTTTTTTAAGTGGGTAATAAGGTAATAATAGGTAATTTAAAACATTTCTTAGCAACCCTATAAACAATGCATTATTAACAATGTATTATTGCTTAGACATGAGCTCAAGGTCAGATAGGTATAAATTGTAATATGAACCTAGTTTGGTCTGACTGCAGGGGCTTCCAGGAAGTCTTCTTTGATTCTCCACTTCCCACTTTCACAGACCTTACTTTCCTAGGAGAATAGGTTAGTGCTGCCCAGCAGCAGGGCCAGTATACTAGTTTATTATTGCTGCTGTAATGACTTACCATAATTTAATTGCTTAAAACAACACAAATGTATTATCTTACCGTTCTGGAGGTCACAGGTCCAAAATCAGTTTCATTGGGCTACATTAAAGTCAAGGTGTTGACAGGCTTGCATTCCTTCTGGAGACTCTAGGCGAGAATCCATTTCTTTGCCTTTTCCAGCTTCTAGAGGCTGCTTGTTCCTTGGTTCATGGCCCCTTCCTCCATCATCAAGTCAGCAGCATAGCATCTTTACTCCCTTCTGACCTCTGCTTCCATCCTTACGTCTTCTTCCTCTAATTTTCCTGCCTCTTCTTATAAGGATTACATTGTGGTTATATATCCCTGTGATTGCACTGGGTCCACTGGGATAATCCAGGATCATCTCCCCATCTCAAGATCCTTAATTTAACCATATCTTCAGAGTCCCTTTTGCTATATAAGTATATAAGGTAAAATACTCACAGGTTCTGGGGATTAGGACATGAACATCTTTGTAGGAGGGGCCATTATTCAGCCTACCCCAGGCAGAGATGGAGGGTGGGCAGGAAGATGCACCCAGACCCAGGATGAGCCTCTATGCTTTGTCCAGTAGTGAGAGGTGGTGCCAAGGGGGAGGTGGCCAGGTCCAGGCCCCATGTCTGGAGAATGGCAAGTGCCTCCTGCAGCATCACTACCAGGGAGAGATGAGAGTGAAGGTCAGACTTCAGAGAAATTCTCAGTTTAGGAAACTTTTCTGGCATAAGGCTCTCCTGGGAACATGGTGGAGGGTTCCAGCAGCCTGTCTTAAACATTGCCTCCTCTCCAGAACCATTCTGTGTTTCTCAAGGCAGAAAATAATTACCAGCAAACTAGCCTGGGCTCTCTTTGGAAAGGGTAGATTGTCTCCCTTTTAAATTATTATTTTTTATTCCTTAATAGTTAAACCGTGCTACTCAGAGCATGGTGAACTCTAATCAATCAAGTGATACTAGGCCCCTTCTTTTATTTTCTTCTTTTGATCCCTGATCCCTATTCTCATTCATCTCCCTGACCTAGGCATATACTCTAATATGTTCAGTATGTGTTTGGACATGTATGTATCATATATATATATATATAATATATATATATATTATATATGAAATATATAATTATGTGCTTATGTGTTTTAATATATATGTAATACATGGTATACTTATATAATAAGCTAAATTCTATAATGAATTGCCCTATATTTCAGTGATTAAACACAATAAAGATTTATTTTTCACTTACACAGGAGTATGGGGTTTTTTGCTTTGGTTTTCTTCTTTAGGGATATATATATACATATACCTTCTTTGCCTATTTTCAGTACTTGTTGCTTTTGTCTCTAATATTTTTTATCTTTCATTTCTTTTGATTTAAAAAAATTTGCCTTTTCACCTATTTAAGGTATTATCTATTGTATTTATTTGCTCTTATGTATTTTCTAAAAT